TTCATGCACTGTTGCGAGATTTCAGTGAAGTAACAAGTCCTGGAAAGCCCAGCGCGGCAACAAATGTTCCAATCATCTCCTGTGCGTTAATGCATCCCGTGGGAGCCGTCTGGCACCCTTGCGGCCTGACTGCTGCCATGGTGGCAGCTTGTCCAGATTGATTCAGCACCCTAAGGCTCACAGAAACTCTGATTGGCAGTGATGGTCATGGAACACCAACAGGTGCAAGAACGTGCGCTTTCTAGAGCCTTGGGCGGGGTTCTGAGCTTCGCCAGCGTTGAGGAAAATGACCGAGCACGCAATGCCAAGACTAGAGGACTTGATGGTCGGGGCTTGCGCCCACTATTGCTCTGATTGACTTGTTTCAGACCACGGACTGCTTGCTCTCCTGTAGACTCAAACATCCGGTCAGACAAGGACATAAGATGTTTTGAACACAAGAAGACCCGTGCACATTTGGACGGCAGAGACATCGTCATCACAGGCTTACGGGACGTGGCGTGTCGGGCTTCGGATGCTTGGTAGATGTGTAGCAATGCGGCAGAGATTGCCTAATTCGCAAAAACATGCAGCCTCAATATTCTCCCCAAAGTGATATGGCATCACTTCCTGCAGGAAATGCTTCCACTCACGACCAACTATGCAAGCAACACAGGTATGTGACGTGTGAGGAGGGCTGGAACCTACAAAAATCGTTTTTTCCGCCAGAGTATGCCCGAGCACGCATGGCTGAGGAGCATCGGCCGAAGGAGCTTTGGGCTCCATCTTCTGCCTTAAGGGGCCTCATTTTACCCGGGATTCTATAGGGATTATATTGGGGTTATACTGGGATAATGGAAAAGAAAATGGAAACTACAGGGATTATATAGGGATTGTGTTGGGGTTATACTGGGATAATGGAAAAGAAAATGGAAACTACTATTTAGGGTTTAGGGATATTATCCCCCTATAAGGCAGAATCAAATGGAAAAGAACATGGATAATGAAATCAAAGCTTGGGTTATATACAGGGGTTTAAAGGGATATGGTTATATAATATATATATATATATGAGCGGCAGTCTAAACTACTGAAAAGCTGGTTATGTAGTGGATTCTACAGGGGACTATAGGGTTTAGGGTCTAAACTCCTTTAGGG